AATTCTCACGTCAAGTTTTTTTTCAGTATTTATCGTTATCTTTTTGAAAACAACGACTAATACGAATGAGTACGGATTATCCGATAACGATAAGATAGTTCGCACGTGCATAAGATGCCATTATTGAAACGGGTGACGTATTTCAGAGGTTCGTGCGCGAGAAAAAAACATCAAATATCACACGAAATTGACACGCGTAACGCAAGAATAAGGCGCCAAAGTATAAAAAGAACTTTATTGAAATGCCACAACGCGAAATGTAAGTACGCATGAAATCCTTAAATCGATTTAAAATCGATTCACTTTACCCTTACTTCATCCGTACATTTGTTTACACAATTCGCAGTATGCAATTACGCCCTTGACCGGTTCCAAAGAGGATTAAATCTTGACAGGTTCCATAAAGAGAGAATCATTGAACATTATAATCTTTGATATCTTGGGATGTTATGCCGTAAATCTTCAAAAGAAAGTTCTTTTTCATGATTAAATCTTACATAATCTCCTATTGGAAGATAAGAAACATGTATGAACCCAAATCAGAAAAAAATATAACATTATGAAAATAATTAGAAAAATGAATATATTGTGTCATTTTTTAACTATTTCTTTAATCTATCCTTTTGAATACCAGCAATTGTAAAATTGTAAGCATGTGAATTTCTTTTTTAATTATAATTCAAGCACACTTAAAACTAATTTTTTTTTTAAAAAAAAAATTTTTACTGCCGGACCGTGCTCCAAGAATTGCCAAAAATATTGTTTCTAAAAAGAGGTTGTGTAATTTGTGTAATGTAATAAAAAGTTTTTTTTTTTATATGCTTAACCGATCAGACTTTAAAAGGCTATTTTTTTTTTTTTTAAAAAAAAAAAAGATTAAATCGTGATTAAAGGCACGAGACCGCGAGAATTTGGTTATAATTTCTTAAACATTAATCTAACCAAAAAAGCCGAATAAATGATTATACCGACAGGGATATATTATGAAAACATATGGAATGATTTATTGAATATCTTTCGTACTTAAGATAAGCTTACGAATTGGTAGAACAAGATTATTACGTATTAAAACTCGATGGCAAAAAAAAAAAAAAAAATCATTTAAAGAAATTTAAACATTTTATAATTATAAATATAAATAAATAAATATGGTAAATTGGTATGGACTTACAAAGAATCGGAGTACCCGGAAACTCATTTTCGTACATTGTTTAAGATAAAATAAAGGTTATATGAGGAAAAAAAAAACGGGATCAATAGATATTCCTAAGTTTGGAAAAACTGGCTAACAGTTGTTACTACGTAGTACATTCTTAATTCATTTGGATAGTAAGCAATGCGCCGTATGTATGCACATACAAACGTATATGCATGCGAGGTTTCTAATATGATAGATGCGAGGTTGTTTGATCAAAGTTTCTGGACATAATAAAAAAAGTAAGGAAATACTTTCAAAAAAAGGCACAATTGATTATTTATACGTACTTATTTTTATATACTTTTATATACTTTTATATATATTTATATATTTTTATATTGTTCAAGCCAAACATCCTTTTATACCGAGTAATTGGTACTTATGAAGGTAAATAAGTAACACTATTAAATTAGTAATGCTTGTGTTTCAGAGATAGCTCTGCGTTTCATGCGTGCAACATGTCGGTAGGCAAATATGCCGGCATTTCGGCATATTGAGTTAAAATGGGTAGATCAAGTTTTTTTTTATTATCTTTAGGTGAAATACAAAACAGAGTGACGCTTTAATGTTTTTTTTTATTTTTATCATTCTGCTTTTTATCTTTGTAAAAGGGAACGACGACATTGTTATTTACACAATTTTTTTTTTTGTGTGTATGTGTAAGGTAACCCTTACGTCCTTACGTACCTACATACCTGTAATACTGTATGTGTATTTATATGGGACATATTAAAAAACTTTTAAAGTTTATACATTCTTGATTCCTGAAGTAGGATCATTACCTAAACTACTTCAAGGTTATTAACCTATATAGTACGTATTGATACGCATATATATATGGATAAATACGTATACGTATATACTTTAAACATTAGAAATACATTAGAAATACATTATGTATGATCGATGACATAAATTAAGATAAGATAATTTAAGATAATTAAAAGATCGGTCCGATCACATGACCTTGATAACGCGGGAAAACTCGGTGCTTACCTAGGTTTTACCTTTAGTTAGGTAAAAAAAAGAAACGGAACTTATGCAAGAATAATTTTACAAAACTTTTATTTACCATTACGATGAAAACTCGGTGCTTACCTAGATTTACCTTTAGTTAGGTAAAAAAAAAAGACGGAACTTATGCAAGAATAATTTTACAAAAACCATTACGATGAAAATAATAAAGTGAAATTACATGTATGTATGTATGTACATTGTAAATCTTTAAAAGATTCTTATAGTATAGAATATAAATCTTTAAAGAAAAGATTCTTTACAGTATAGATTTTAAACGAAAAAGAATTTGATTGTACTAGCGTGCGAAATTTATTGTTCTTCGTGTTCAATCTAAGAACATTAGTCAAATCTTAACATATCAAATATGTAAATTAATTATAATATCAAATATTACTTATTTGAGAATATTTATTACTTAAACTTTTTGTATCGGTATATTTCTACGTATAACATTAAAAATAAAAAAAATTTCGAGAGTATAAATTCGGAATTGAATAATAAAAAAATATTTATAGAAAATATTTATGGTGCAAACTTTATATATTCTTCTTAATTATTAAGCGCTTAGTTAATAAATCTTAAATTTAAATTTAAAATTTAAAAAAAAGAATCCGGTGATTTTTTGTAGTAATTTGGCTATAACGATAATCATACGATATCTTTTGATATCTTTTAGAACAGTAGAACAGTAGAACACATATATCACCACGTACACACATATATATATAAATAAATTGTGACACTTCACTCAATCAATAACTCATTGAACAAAAAAAACTTGAATTATTCTGGCAAAATCTGAATTTCGAACTTTATTCAAGATAAGAAATAAATATACAAGATAAAAAAAAAAGATAAGAGCTAATAGATAAAGATAGAAAAAAAAAAAGTAAAAATAAAAAAATAAAGTGGCAAATTGGCAAAACGATACGAACTTTAAAAAAAAAAATTTGGCAAAATCTGAATTTTTAACGGAACAAAAAAAAAAAATCTGGCAAAATCTGAATATATGTAACGTAACAAAAAGTAAATTTGGCAAAATCTGAATCGTAACAAAAAAAAAATTTGGCAAAATCTGAAAGATCCGAAAAATAAAATTTGGCAAAATCTGAACATAATGAACAAAAAAATTTGGCAAAATCTGAAAAGTGGCAAAATCTGAATTACTAATTCGTGAACAGTTTATCACAAAGGATAATCGTGAAATCATTAAACGTCGTGTTAGACACGACCCATAAAAAAAAAAGGTTGTTGAAAAATTGTACTAGTAGAGAAGTCTTAACTTACAAATGATGATGGATGAATTGAAATTATTTTTTTTGAATTTTGAATTTTGAAATTGGAAATCACAAACACAAACAAAAAATTTCGAAAAAATTGAATAAAAAATTTGAGGAAATCACAAACACAAACAAAAAAAATTTCGAAGTTTGGTAACTATGAATAATTGTCGGTAAAGGAATAAAAATATAAATCTTATGTTGATTATGTTGATTATGTATAATTTAAATTAATCAATAATTTAAATCATTTGCATTCATCTTATATTATATTATAAATTAAAGTTATATATCGGCAAAATCTTAAAAATAAAAAAAATGAATTTGAGGTTGGTGTTTTCACTTATTGTTATAGGCGGTAAAATCTTGCTCTCCTTCATTTACACGAATCATAAGATCGAAAAAATGAATAAAGGAAAAGTTTCATCTACCAAGAGGACCGCACAAACAACTTCACCCACCCACAAATACATAAAACCGGGTTACCGATGAAAATAAAATGTCCATCCAAGAAAAAAATAGAAAAACTACATGCTGCAAATCGTCAAGAAACCTAGCTCCGTGTGCCGTGGTGCATTTCTTCTTCAGAGAAACATGTTTGCACCGTATGCAAGGCTTCATAGCTTCATCATACAACCAGAAAAATAATTGTGGATAAAAATATATATATAATAGGTATATAGATATATAGAGATATATAATGATATATGATAAATATAATCAATTATCTCCGGTAGTATTTAGGTGTAGGCCAATCGCAGTGACCTGCAAAGAATCATCCTTAGGAAACGCCAGACGGCAGTGACCAGCTTCAATAATCTCAAGACTTTTTGGAGTGTATCTTTCTACTTGTTTAACGAATGGTGATATTGGTTCCAAAGCAGTAACACGATAAGATATATGTGTGCGTGAATGTGTGTGTGAAGCTCTTTCAATAGATTCTTCCTTTCACTTCATTCAAATCTCCAAAGTTATGTCGGTAAAATGAGGAGTAAAAATTTGATTCATACTGACAAAGTAAAACTTTTCGTTTCTTTTACTTTTGTCGAAAAGTAGGGGGAGGGTTTTGTGGCCATAAAGCGAACTTTTCTTTCGAAAAGTAGGATTATTGCAATATTAAAATAAATTTAAAATGCAATTATGCGATGGTTAATAAAAACCGAAAAGTATTTTGCAAAAGAGAAATTATCGTAACAAAAAATAATATCGATGTATTTGGGAATTAAAATTTGACGAATTTTTTTTAAAATTAATGTTTTTTTTTAAGGATTTTCTCACGCAAGCGGTTTGCGCGGGTTTAAAAAGTGGATCGAATAGGCTTTCGAAGGTAAAATGCACAAACACAAACATTTTAAGAGAAATTGAGTACACAATTTTTTTGTGATCGTTTGGTAATATCATAATAAATATCATAAAATGATATACCATAAAAAAGGTGACAAAATAGTAAAGCACAAGACTACAAAAAATCGAAGGAACTGTAATCCCGAATTGAAAATTGTCCATTACAAAACTGTACCCATGGCATAAAATATGTTCAAAGAATAATAATGATGATAAGAATGTTCAGGCAAGGGTATTGTGGAAAGGTTGCCCTTCCCTAGAAGAGAAGAAGAGCCCTTGTTACTCTTTCTTCCTTCGCTTCAAAAGGGGTGAACACTAAAGTGCTCTTTAGAACACAGCAGTGTTCCACAACATCGAACCGCACCAACTTACAACATCTTTAACATTGGAAGCAATGTTAACACATTTCTCCACAACACCGGACTCATTCATTTCAGGAACTCTCATTTGTTGATTACTCATACGTTTAACTTCAATTCCGCTACGTGGAATCATACGGGGCTTAGTAGCGTTATGATGAGGATGATGAGGATAGTTAGGAGGAGGTACCATCATCCTTCTTGGAGGAGAACCACGTGGAATACCACGCGGGGTAGGTCTGATCATTGGTGGTGGTAAAATGAAATCATCATCATTTGGATAAGGACCACCAACAAAAGAACCATCTTTACCAAAAGGTAAATTAACTTTTCCAGTAGATTTAACTTGTTCTTTTGCCCAAGCAAACATTTGATCATAATTTCCATGATGCTTGTTAATACCTTGATCTCTGAACATATCATTTTCCATCTTTAAAGAGAATGGACTATTAACCCTACGTCGCATCGGAGGTGTAGATGGTCGTACGGTAGAATAATGTGTAGGAGTATAATGAACTTGCTCCAAATTACGACTGAACCTAATGGTCTTTTTCTTTTGTTTAGGTTCAATAGGTTGTGGATTGAAATCAGGATTTTTGGCATTAATCAACATCATTTCATAAGCATAGGAAATGAGGTCCTTTAATGGATCATGTTCCACAGGTTTCTTCAGAGCCGGTTTAATATAAATGGACGGAGAGCTTGATGGAGAAGATGAAAGATCAAATGGTAATGGAGGAGATGAAGTGGCACCAAAAATGGGAGATGGTGGACAACAAGTGCCTGGGGGACTTCCGACTAAAGTTTCGTCGTCATCCTCCTCCATGAATGGATCATTATCAGGTTGATAAAGGGGTCCAAACAACCAAAGGATATCACATTCCTTTTGCCTATATATATATAATGAAAAAAAAATTCAAAAAAATAAATGATTGGTTAGTTATAACTCATAAGGATCTTTTTGTTTGTTGGACAAGGAAGAATAAATACAATTGTATGCCTTGTTTCACCGCATGTAAAACGTAAAAGGAAAGGTAATAATAGAATATAATAATAATATATATATAATATATGTATATAATATATATATATATCATAAATATATATACATATATATATAAGATAAGATAAAATAAGATCAAAGAACTTTTAATTCATCGTTGAATAAGCCCGCCAAAAAAAAAAAAAAAAAAAAGAAAAAGAAAAAAAGATAATTCCGGTAATTATAAATCTTTTAGCAAAATGTCCGTGTGATCAAATTCGGTAGGCAGATGTTACACGGATCAAAGTTAAGATACCAGAAATAGGATACAATAACAAAATTGACAGGTTTTATGGAAATCATATCATTTGCGCGCCATCCCCAATTTTTTTTTCAGCCCAAGTTACAAAGTTTGTGAAACGGAATACAATTGTGCCTCCCCCAAAAAATACCAACCAAAGAAATAATGAAAAAAAGGAATCGAATTCAAGTAAAATAATATTTTCTTACCATTTCAAAGTTTTTGGGGAAACTAGTTTGTTGCCTTTTCCGACACAACCGACAGAAGGACCCATACGCCTCCAAAGAGCATTCTTCATACGAATCAAACGTTTTTCTTCAGCACGAAGGGCGGACTCATGTTTTTGTTGTTGAAGTTGTTTGCTAATATTACCTAGGATAGGTTTACCTGAAGTGCGTTGTTGTTGAAGACCAACTGAAGGACGAGAATTTTTTTGAAGTTGTTGTTGTTCTTCACCGCACTTTTTACGACAGGCATCAAGTTGTCGACAAACTTCTTTGTATGAGTAAATAATATCAGTTTCAGACCAGTCATGAGTATGTCCAAGATAGTCAACAGATTGAGTTGCAGTAACGTTGATTGATGGTTGTTCCATTTTTGAAATGTGTTTTTTGTTTTTTTGAAAATTGAAAGACGAAAAAAGTTTTTTTTTGATCGTTAAATAAAAGTTTTTTAAAAAAATATATTTACAAATAAATGAAAATTTAAATGAGTTCGTGTGTTATGATACAGCTCATTAAGTGGAGGGTTATTAATCCCGTAAATGAATATAATCGAGTTAGTAAAACTTGTATATAGTCGTTGAAATAGAGTCTCGTTTTTGTTGTTTGTTGTTCTCTCAGTTGTTATGATAAAACTTCATTAAACGAAGAGTGAAAATTCAAAGGAGTTGTTTTTTTCTTCAATGAGAACTAAATCGCGGTTTTTCTGAATCGAAGAAGAGATATGAAGCCTTATATATATATCTTCTAGGATAACGTAAGCGTGGAGTATGAGGTGCAATTTATTATTGATTATTGAAAGAGAAGAATATTATTATTCCTAACTTTCAAAAAAAAAAATTATTCGCAAAAAATAAATTAAAACGTCAAGCAAGAAAAAAAAGAAAGGTGTTTTTTTTCCGATAATTGGAATTGGGGAAAATGATGATGGCTCAACCTGGCATTCTTAAATAATTTTTAGATTCGCAATTACACAAATGATAATTATTTATATTAAGCCAAATAAACTTTATATTACAAAAAAAAAAAAAAAATCTATATCTATATCTATAATATAATCTATAGCATATATGCTTGTAATTTATCATACAGTAATACAGTAACGATGTATATTAAGTAATAGTTGTGTAATATAAAAAAAAAAAATCAGTTAATACGTTATATAGTTTAAATAAAAAAAAAAAAAAATAATAATAATAAAATATAATAAATATTAAGATAATATATATAGTTTAAATAATAGTTGCATAAAAAAAAAAAAAAATTAATTGCCGGCAATAAATACAAACAGGTTTATATATACGTACAACAACGGTTAAAATAATTACGTACATATCATTCGGAATATATATTCAATATATAAATCAGTTTAAAATGTTTTTGAGAGTTGGTGCAAATGTTAAAGTTTTTTTTTTTTTTTTTATAGGTTAATTTAGAACCCATTATGACAATCCAAGCATCATACAACATATATTAGTCAAAATCGGAAGGTGCCGCCGATAGTTGGTGGTTGGTCGAAGCACAAGTCATCAACTACTTAATATGTACAAGTCACTCGATAATTACTGCAATCTACCCACCAGAACCGCAATCTACCGTTAGCTACTGCTACCTACTTTTAGCAGCTGTTATTACTGTTAGCTACGATTATGTTATGTTGTTATGTGTTGCTAGCTACTCAAACTATATACGAAGTGATCGGTTTGAGAAATGATGGGTAACATTGAGAAAAAAATATGGTGATGCGAACTAATAAGTGTTGTTGTGGTCGGTGATGCCAATCAAAGAAGCTCATCAAACGTAATGATACACAATAAAAAAGAGAAATTAACAGGTTAATCGTCTGATTAAAATTAGTGTTACGATGTGTTCCTTTAGAAAATTGATTGATTAGCCTTCAAAGAGATGCATTAAGATTAGAAATGGAGTATCAATAAACCTAAAAATTGACAATAAATTGACAATAAATACAATAAATACAATAAATCAAGAAAATGTTCAATATATCCTTTCGTGGGAAGTATAACGAATCGCACATCTCGCCAATCGACTTTTGAGTGAGTTCAGCCTAGACTCTTTATTCATTCATATCATTCGAAACAAATTGGAATTATATTAAAATTATATTAAAATTTATTAACGTTTAAAATTTGACGCGCAATATAAAACAATAATCTCTTTTAAAGATCATCTTTTTTTTTTTGGCGAAAAGGTAAACATTTTGACCAAAATAAGATAAGAACAGACAAAAACAAAAAAGGGCAGTGTCGTAATCTACATTTACCTTATTTGTAGTTAGACGCGATTATTTATTATTATTTATTTAACGTTAATAAAATAGAATAATAATTAAGATATCGTGACCCTAAGAGAAAAAAAAATTTATTTTATTTTAATTTAATTTTTTTATTTATTTATATTACAATTCATTAAGTTCATTACACTTCATTAAGTTTATTACACTTCATTAAGTTTATTACAGTCGAAATTATTTATTTGAAAAAAAAACCCGACATCCGGCCAATAGCTGGTTAATAGTCAAACCAATAGTTGTCCAATAGTTGGAATAGTTGGCCAATAGCAGGCCAATAGCAGGTTAGATACTTATTTAATACTCAATCTTATTTATTAACGCCAAAAAATTAATATATATATTCATGCATGTAAAAAAAAGAGTTTGTGTGGCAGTTGGTCACTGGATCAAATGTGCCATACGTGTGTAAATTGGTAATCTATATCTTATCATTCATTGTATATATCATTATATATATCTTTATACATATATATCTTTATACATACCTTATACATACATATATATATATATATATCTTTATACAGTATATATCTTGTATATATATATATCTTTATACGTATCTTATACGTGTATATACCTTCATACGTATATATCTTTATTCGAAATCTTAAAACCAAAACTAAATTTGATTTCTAATCAGGTTTATAAGAAACAAAAGGTCATCAATTACAAGAATAAGAAAAGTCTAGTTCCATGGCTATCTATTAATGTAACTATAAAATATGGTAGTTTTAAGTATGTACGTAAGTACTTGATGGTGAGAAGAAAGATTGTGCAATAAACATCTTACAAAATACCTCTAATGTTTATGAGATATGCAAGGGACAGGATAAATAATTACACAGGTTTTTTTTTTTTTTTTGACCAGAATAACGATTTTGGGCTTATACAAACTTTCGCGAAGTTTCCCTCTCGGTAACACTTCGTTTCGAAAGAAATCTCTGCAATAAAGATAATTCAATCCGTTCTTACGTATTACAGGCATTCAACGCATAATCAACCGCATTATTGTTTTGATGTTTTTTATATTCCTAAGCCACATAACATTAGAATAATATTCATTAGTGTAATTTAAAATAATTAAATAAAATTTAAAATTATTAGAGTATAATTCATTAAAGTAATTACAATAATTATTAGTAATCAATTAGAATCATTAGTAATCAAAATAATTTCATTAAAATTAATAAACTCATTATAATAATTCATTATAATAATTCATTATAATAATTCATCATAATAAACCATTGCGATAATAAATCATTGCGATAATAATTCATTTCGATAATAATTCATTAGAATATTATTATGATAAATTTTTATTAAAAAAAAAAATGATTAAAATAATCAAAATTACTAATTACTAATTATTACTAAATTACTATATAACGATAAATACTAAATAACATATTTACATACCCCATCCAATATGAAACGTTTAAAATTAGTAGATGAGAATACTTGTCAAGAAACATTTTTGATACCCAAACCTTATTAATAATAATGAGCATCTATTTTGAACAATTATTTTTCTTTGTCGAAACAAAAAAAGTAAAGAATGACATTTATTTGCCCCAACCAAAAGAAACTTTAATAAACAAAAATTCCTACAAAAAAGGTAATCAATGGTTACTAAACTTGAAAAGTGTAACAATCAGTCAGTCTGTATGTAAAGTAAACCATGTATAAAGTTATAACTATATTTCGACTTACCATATAATTATTTATTTTATGGCTTGGCTACGTAAGTACAGAGAAGGGTTCTGATAAAAACGAGATAATATTTTGTAAACAAAATGTCAACAAATGCCAACAATTGGCCTAGCACCAATCATATATGGAATTGACCGAATAATATAAAGTAGATGGATATTGTAGTTTAAAAACACGGACGCTCGGAGAATATATTTGGAATGAAGTACATTGCAAAAAAAAGAAAACGTCATTCTATATTTTTATACCGGCCTTTTTTTGTACTCCTCATAGTTACTCAATTTTACTCAATTCTGATTCAATGTCCATTGTTCGAAAAATGCGGTGGTTGGTCATTCAACTTTCTTTTTAACAAACAGAAACACCAATAAATATTATATTATATATTTAGCCTGGGAAAATTTTACTGTACATATCTTATCAACATCATCTATCTGATATATGAATTACAGGGGTGCACGTTAGTAATTTATTTTATCAATTATTATTATTTTTTTTATCATTAATTACCATCAATTATCATTAATTATCATTAATTATTCGTTATTATCGTTATTATCTTTATTAATTATCATTTATTAGAATTAAAAAATGTACCCGATAGATGCAAGAACTATAAGGATATAAGAATTCAAAAGTTAAAATACGCACGTGATGATTACTTAAAAATCCTGATTCTTTTTTTTTGCAATTTCGAACAGGAATAAAAGTTGAATAAAAAATAAACGTTGAAATAAATTGCGAAAAAACATGACATTAAATTAACAATGATCCATAAAATAATCCATCCTGGAACAATTACATTTTTGTAAGAAAAATGCTGTAAGTGTAAGGCAGGGATTTCATCAGCGCAAGACTTAAAGATGTCGAAGAACGCGTAATGTGGGTATATATACAAAATAATAAATAGAGTAAATAATCATAATGATAAGAAAACTACATTATGATTCAAAACAATTGTTAACCGCAAGGAACAATATGCAAGATCGACAACATTCTCAATATGTAACCGATGAAACCTGTAATACTATTAAGAGATTAACCAAAGTAATGGTTTTTTTTGATTATCTTGTTTCTCGTGACCCTTAACTGTTAAGTTTGTTAAAATACTTTCCCACAGAATATGCGAGTTACCAAATCTAGCATTATCAAAGAAATTATTCGTTATTTTTATATTAAATACATATTTTTATTTTATTTTATTTTTTTTCTTAATTTTATTTTTTTTATTCAGTATTGGTAGTAGTAGTAAATAATTATCACAATTACATATTACATTATAGTTATCACCATTTCATTTATATTTATCACAATTATAATTTACATTTATCACTACGTAAAAATTCGATTAACGATTTTATAATTTACACTAACCATCAAATTAATTCAATCTTATGTCATTATATGCACGCATCCCTTGATCCTGGGAAATGCATAATCTATACTAACATTTTTAAACATCAAACATCCTGTCAATTTTGTCACCTTTATATAAATAATCTCGATGATAACGTGAGGAATGCTAAGAGATGCGGCGCAGTTTTCTCAGATTAGAAATTCTTTTATTCATGCGTCTCGATCATCATAATTGATCTTTAATATATAACTTATTTCGTACAATCTTAATTAATCTAATTATTATCTAATTATTATCTAATTATTCTAATTAATCTTACTTTAACTAATCTTAACAAAGTAATCAATCAATTTTCAATTTACGTGTTTCATTGTACTCAATCTTATCATTTTTTTCCCAATTTAGTTTATATTTCAAACATTTTAATCTAATAATTTATTAATATGCACTATCTAAAGTTAATGTCTATCTAAATTTAATGACTATCTAAATTTAATAACTATCTAGAGTTAATGACTATCTAGAGTTAATTACTATCTAAATTTAATATACAACTATCTAAAGTTAATGATAATGTACTTTTTCTAAATCACCTTACTTTAAAAAAAATTGATAATGTGATCAAGATGCAGATTATGTTTAATGACGAGGTTCTGCGGGTCCCGTGAACCACCATTGAGATCCTTTGAAGGAAATACCTTCCGGGAGTTCCTTAAAAAAAAGAAAACTTTATTATTTATTTATTTATCGTTATTTATTTATTGAATCACAGTATTATTCTTATTATTCTTATTATTCTTATTATTTTACTCAGAAGCTTCAATTTAATTTTTTTCAGCGAATATATGTAATCCGTATTAATATATGCGAATATACTGAATAATATACTGAATAATAGAATAATATTGCTGAGTAATAGAATAATATATTGAAATATTAGAATAATATATTGAATAATATACTGAATAAATACGTATATAATCAGTATCGAATGATGTACATATTAAAGAAAGTATTTATATAAATCAAACATCCAATTTTATCAATCAATTCATGTAATCAAATTTCCATCTTGTACAAACGTACGTAACAAATTTAACAATAATATACTATTCCAATGATGCATCTATAAAACTTTCTTTGGTAAAGATTTGAACAATTGGCCATAAATTTTGTACAACGCTTGTGCGCTATTTTTTCAATTATGGTTTTATAAAAATTGGTGATACCGTTAAAAAATCAAGCTAGCACCAAAACAGAATCTGTCAAAACAGTAAACATTTTTGATCCAAATAATAGTTTATCAAATTCTCAAAGAATTTTATTATTAATTAATAAATATACGTAATACTGTTGTGTTCACCACTCACTTTATACGTTTAAATGTTGTTACATAATTTTTTTTTTTTTAACTGTATAGCCTGTATGATAGTCTGTATGATAGTCTGTATGATATACACTACAAATATATCTGTAGATTACGAATTTTTTTTTTTTTTTTAAAAAAAAAAAAAATTATTAATTATTATTAAATATAAATGATAAAAAAGGTAACGGCATATAAATAAATAAATTTAATTCGTAACATCCTACATCCCGGATAATTCTAGTACGTATATTAACTAAAAAGAGATACATTTATTTGGAATTATTTGTTAAAGTTTTTTATGTATATACTGTACATAAAAAAACCTTATTCTTCCGTCTTATTCTCTTACTCTCCTACCTTATTCTCTTACCTTATTCTCACCTTATTCTCTTACCTTATTATCTTACTTTTTTCTCTTACTTTTTTCTCTTTTTATTCTCTTGCTTTATTCTCCTGTTCCTGTTTAGCATACCTATCGTCAGAAATTAAAGTTGAATGCGCCTTCTTTTAGATACATCCGTATGTAACTTACCAAGTATTAGTATTTGGTATTGTGCGCAAGTACGAGTTTATACTTGTTTATCCGCCTCCAACATTAACTAAACATTAAAGTTATCATTAACTAAACATTAAAGTTAACATTAACTAAACATTAAAGTTAACATTAACTAAAGTTATCATAACTAAACTAAGTCAATATTAACTATAAAGTTCATAAATATTACGGAGTAACAAAAATCAAAGATAATGTAAATATATATCTATAGTCGCGTAAATCGTTAAATAATTTTTCTTTTTTATAAAAAAGATTTCTAAACTTTATCCTTGTGTATTAAATTTGGTAGTACCATTGTAGTAGGTCACTTGATTTAAAGTTTAATTTATATTATTGTAATTATTGTAATTATTGTAATAATCGACCAACCATAAAGTTAATCTCAAAGTTTACGCCTTATTTCCGAATAATGGGAAATTTGGCTTTAGAACACGTCGATGTTGTTGTATCCTCTCGTTTAAACCCTGTGCAATTCTCTGAGTTAAATATCCATTGTCCTTCTGGATAATGTCCAGATAATGTCTAGATAATGTCTAGATAATGTCCAGATAGTGTCCAGATAATGTCAAGATAGTCAACGCCTCAATATCCCTCAATAACAATCCCTTACCTTTACTGTAAACTGTTAAAAATATCATAACAAATAGAAAAGCGAACGGTTGGATAAACCATTGCCCCATTATTTTTTTTGTTCATTTTATTTTTGATTTTATTTTCTTGTTTATTTTCCGGTTTTTTTTGTTTTCTAAATTTCGACACAAATTAACGCCAATGTTTCTTAAATGTCTCGTCGTGAACCATCCTAAAACCTTTCTTAACAATGGTTTAATCTTTTGGTATGACTATAATTCCTTTTGAAGCTTGGTTCTTTGTTCACGTAATCAATCTCTCTATGTAAAAAAAATTGTTCTTAGTTTGCTTAGTATAGATTATTTAGATTATTTAAATTATATATATTAAAATTATACAATTATTACAATCAATCTTTTCGTGTCAAATAATTCTTTGTGAAATTTCCAAGTCGCGCCTTCGCGGATTGTTTACTTGATGCATCCGAATTACGGTCACGGCCTGATTCATTCATTCCTTTTTTTTTTTTTTTTTTTTTTTTTTGACGTACATATTTCTATAACTTTAATTCAAGTTTAAAATCAGGTTTATGTATTTTTGGTATCTAATATAAATTCTGAAAATACATACTAAAATTCTAAAATTGTTTAGTCTTGTCACTTTAAGGAATTCATGTTCGTTTTTGTTTACGACTTTAAGGTTCTTCCTCTTATGGTTCTTTCTATCTCCTTCTTTACTCCCTTTTGATTACTTCTCTCGGTTTATGATATTCTTCCTCTTATTCTTTATTAAGAAATGATGAAACCATTTGTCACATCTTTATATCAGGTGATGCCCTGCAAACATTTCTGCATGTACAAAGATAATTGTTATTTTGATTTTGTCCAGATGATGCATGTATGTGTTTGTGTGTCAAAGCATCTAATCAAACTCTTAGCTTCTCATTACCGACTGGTCCTGAGTCATCTCTGAGAATTTGCATTTTGGCTTTGATTGAATGTAATACGTCTGTTCCTCCCTGGATAATTTACGGCTTCTATTATTGTAATTACTGTAATTACTGTAATTATTGTATGTTTTGTATGTCTTGTATCTATTTTGTATGTCCTGTATGTCCTGTATGTCCTTTATGTCTCGCGGCATCACAATGTATACATAACAACAATAATATCTTTTTTGTTATAATACAATAAACCGGAATTTGCCGCGTATTTTATTTTATTCATTTATTATATGTATTTAATTGGTATCATTGATTTTTTTTTTTTTTTTTTGCTAGTTAATTTGGTCACGATTTAAAACGCGAAATACGAAACTTTTTGGTTTCGTTCATTTTTGGCTTTTTAGTCTGAGAAAATAATAATAATAATAATAATAAAAATAAAAATAAAATAAAAATAAATAAATCTAATCATAATGATAAACAATAAAATTAAAATCATTTATCAATCAATATTCGATACTATACTCAAATATTATAATAAATAACAATAGTAGATATTTGAAAATACCAATGGCTTATAATGTTTCGAGGCGTGATTTGTCTTTCTTTACTCGCATCCCTGCAGTCCACTTGTTATGACACAAGAAATTCTTCTGGGGTTTGTACATGATTCATCCCGTAAAGACTGATGCTGTGCTCAAGTTAACCGCTTAAGTTGTTCCGTTAATGTCACGCAACAAACCCAAATTTCGGATATTATTTATTCTGGCTAGAAGATTTCTATTAAGATTTCTATTACTACATTAAAAAATAAAATTCTATCGCGCCCAATGTTTTTCTTCAAAAAAAAAAATTACAGTTTCTATAGTTTCTATTTTGTGGTCATTAGGGACAGTGAAAAATATTGATTTATGTTAATTATATGTAAATCGATATTTTTTTAGGTCAAATCTTAGGGAAATCGATATTTTTTGTAAATTTTAATGTAGTGTAATAATACCACTTCGGGCAAAATTAAATGTATAATTTGGGCCAGACAACACAAATTTGGTCAACCTGAACTGTCAATAAGTTTCGGTCTGCCGGAAAGTTACATTATTGATCACGTTATATTGTGTTTCACCAAATCGTGCATTTCGCTGTCCCTGGTGGTCATGCACAATATTGTCACGAGGTTCGATCACGGGTACACAATAATCAATATGTCATTCTAATAATTAAATAATAAACAATTTTAAAACGCTTAGATATAAATATACGAAAAATATATGGTTATCTTGAATGTAGATTGATGATTTTGATTAAACGAGCGACTATGTACAGATAAATTAATCAAGATCTTTATGTGTACCCTATTATTTCTTTTGTATCGCTCACGAGGTCCTTTATTCTAATTTTTGGTACCTTTCATTGGATATTCTCCCCCAAACCTCCAAATTTGGTTTGGGTTAACAAAGATGATAATAATACTATAATAATAATAATAATAATAATACAGTAAAATAACTTAATAATAATAATACAGTAAATAACTTAATAATAACAGATAATACTACTGTACGTACGTAATAACTTTACGTATAATTATGTATAATTATCCTATCAATAACGATAATATTATCTTTGTTATACTATTTTCTAGCATTAATGTTGTTTTTAAACTCTTAAAATTCCATAAATAGTTCTTATGTGTTGATCATCTCCACATTTTTTTAATCGTCCACAGAACAAATAATATTTTATCAGATTTATTACTCCAATCATCTTTCCCCTTTTTCTTTTCTTTCTCTTATCTCTTACTGAATAACTGTACCGCAACATGATGCAATGCGAATGTAATTGATTCTATATGAAATGATGCTGTAAAAACAGATTATCCGCGCCGGCAGTTGCAATTGGCGGTACCCCACATTTTTTTGCATTGAGTTATTGAGTTATGTACTCGGTTCCAAACTTTCCGGTATAATCCATATATGTGGTGTGACCTTACTCGTAACTCTCCTTTTCTTTTTTTTTCCTCCTAAAATGGTTAAAAAATGTATGCGAAATGCATTAGACTGCAGCTTTGTAAACCTTTGAATTACTAATTTCGTCACAAGACTATCCTCTCCAATATTACTTACGTACATATTGGCTAAATTAGTTGTACTTTTAATATTTACTATTGGTCATGCCATTTTCTCCATCTGGCGTAGATTTTACACATTTTGGTTATTACGTTTTCTAATCACACCACCATTGTAAGTATGCTGATAAGTTAAATTAGGACTTGCATCTTAAAGTTAATGCTAATTCTGTAATTAAAAATAAATAAATGGTGTAATGTTAGTTCTCATGACTATTATCAAAATTAAAAAAACCTTTTGGTTTAAATCGGGACTACATGTTTAAGATTGACGTAATGCGTGGTGGTCATGCACATATTGCATACCATCGTTGTTAATGAAATAAATGTCACTAGTTCATTCAAAATATAAGATAATCAACTATATATATATTTTATACGTAATACACTTATATATATATATACATTTATACATTTTTTATATAATTTGTTCCAAATGCGGAATTAAAAATTTTTGAATTTATTCCTTCTCACAATCATTATTTCATAAATTTGGTCATATTAAAACTTAGTGGATTTCCAAATTCCCTATATACAGTATAATGTTGTAATGGTATACGTAAAAAAAAAAAAAATATATATATATATATAGACTGACGATTTTTTTTCTCTCTCTCAAAAAAAAGAAAAAAAGAATTATCTAACGATTTTCGGACAAAAGCGTCTAAAAGATTTTTTCCAATATCTATTCAATAAATAAAAAACCAAACATAAACTAAATAATGTACATTAAAGATTGGCGTATATGCGAAACAATAAATAGTGAAATTTTTTTGGTCATTTCACAAAATTATTTTCAATTACTTTAAATGGTAACATTTACAAATAATGTCAATACGATCTAATACGTATATTTATTCTTACTAATTTCATCTTTAAATTTTAATCTAATTGTATAAATTATATTATATTGAGATTTTATTCTTGATTTATTCTAATCTTTCTTTTAATGTATAATAAAGTTCGAGTATCGTAATGGTGTATAAATCGCAAAGTATTACATGATATAAATATATAAATAAATAAATATTATGAGTAAAGCTTATAATCTATATTGTGTTTTTACTTATTGTAATAAATAGCTTTATAGTAATTACAAAATTTAATAAAGTAAAAGTTAATTGAATAATAATAAAATTATATACGTACTATTAATTGATAGATTTAGAATAATTATTTAACTTGTTATTATATACTTTATTAAAAAGATTTAAATATTTATTATAAGTTTATATTTTATAATATTGTATATAGTTTTTTATTTTAAATAGTTTAAATTATTTATTTAGTTATATAACTTTTTATTAAAACGGATCTTCTTTAGTATATTTTGTATTAACTACAATTATTTCAAAGATATTTTGTTTTTTTTTTTTTTTTTTGAGTTAAAGTCCCTGTCTCTGGGAGTTGATGTTTTTATTCATGTATTTGAACACGGGTG